CTCCATATACTCCCCGCACCCTCAGCCAGTCTAAATAAAGTCTCCCTGGGCTGGTGAGGTAGAATGGAGAGGGTCCTGAAGGGACCTGCTGAGAGGAGGTAGGGTGGCTAGAGGCCTCCATGTATGCTTCCAGGGCCAGGAAGAAGTTGACCCTGAATCTGAGGTGAGGAGTGGTTGCTGTTCTATTTCTTGTCGCCAAGAGGCTGACAGCAGCCAGGATAAGGTCAGTTCTTCATCTGGAGGAGTGATGCTCAATGCTTTGCCCAAGTGCCATCCAAACCCCTTCCAAGAACCTAACCATCACCGCTAAGCTCCAGATGGAAAGTGGAACCTGACACTCAGGGTCTCACCAAGTGAGGAAGGTGCTGGATCCCTGACTCCTGTTACACACTCAAATGGGACTGCCTGGTGGGTGGCCTGCCCACCTGTCATCTGGGTTTACTCCCCGAGAGAGAAGACATTCATCTCTGTGTGTACCTGTCTCTGGATTCGACCACTGCTGTACATTGGGGAAGTTGAATCTGTTGAGAAGTTTATAATCTGGGTTCCATGTGTCCATTGGGAGATTTGGGGCATGAATGGTAGGTGAAACTTGGACTGGTACACTCTTCTCTGGTTTTCATCAGATTCTTTTTTTTTTTTTTTAAGTTTATTTGCTTTTTTATTTTGAGAAACAGAGAGGGAGCATGCAAGTAGGGGAAGGGCAGAAAGACAGAAAGCACACACGCAAGAGAATCCCAAGCAGGCTCCCCACTGTTGGCATAGAGCCCGACGCGAGGTTTGAACTCATGAACCGTGAGATCATGACCTGAGCCAAAATCAAGAGCCCGATGCTTAACTGACTGAGCCACCCAGGTGCCCCAAGTTTTCATCAGATTCTTTTTTTTTAAGTTTATTTATTTATTTTGAGAAAGAGAGAGAGAGAGAGAGACAAAGAGAGGGAGAGAGAGAGAATCCCAAGCAGACTCTGCACTGTCACTGCAGAGCCCAATGCGGGCCAGAACCCATGAATTGTGAGATCATGACCTGAGCCAAAACCGAAAGTCGAACGCTTAACCGACTGAGCCACCCAGGCACTCCTTCATCAGATTCTTAAAGGAGCTGCTGGTGCAGGAAAAGGGGAAGCTGCTGGAATGGGGATATATAAGGTCACACACAGGCACTAAAAATAGTGACTACTCTGAGCCAAGCTCTTTTGTTTTGTTTTATCCCCAACTTGTGGGGTACGTGCTAACCATATTCTCAATTTACACACAAGACGGTTGGCCTCAGGGAGGCCAAGGTACCTGGTTCAGGTAGTAGAGCTGAGCCTTGAACACAGCTCTGTGTGCCCCCAGCCACCCACTGTTCCCGCCCCACCTCCCATCACAGGATGCACAATCCCTAAGACATCCGGCCTTCTCTCGTGCACCCATTCTGGCTCTGTCACCCTGGAATGTTCTATAACTTTTATTGAATTTCATTTTTCCTTTCAAACTTGGGCTGTTCTCCTCTTTGAGTAACATGTCTCTTCCTGCTGTAGCATACAAAATTCTTTTGTTCCATTATAAACTTGTGTCTTTCTTCTTCAAGGTGGACCCTGAGTCCTAAAACACTGGACTCTGATGAATAACACTGAATTTGTTTTCTTTGTTCATGAATTCAGGTTTTCTAAATGTCATACATCGAGGTATTGAATAGTTAATACCTCTGCTAAGAGTAGCTACAGTTCATTGGATGTTTCCAAGTGACTGACATAGTGTTGATTTATACTCATGATCTCATTCGATCTGCCTAATGTCCCTCTGAGGTAAGTACTATTATTATCCTTATTTTAGAGTTAAGGAAACTGAGGTTTACACCCGTGACGTGAGCTGCCCAAGGTCACATAGCTACTAAATGGCAGAGGTGGGCTTTGAACGTAGATCTGGAGGATTAACTCTTACCCCATCTTGCCAAGCCACTTGCCTCTTTACTTCGGTTGGCAGATGCATTCCCGTGCATGTCTCAGTGGTGACAATGACCTAGTAATGTTTGGGTGGCTGGAGAGGATTAAGGAGGACTGCTTTGCTGCCAGTTGGGAGGTCCAAGTAAAGAGGACCTGTTTTCTTCCATAAGGGCTCTTGAACTCCGGACCTTCTCTGGGCCTGACCACAGTGAGGTGACCTGAGGAGGTAGCATAAAGCAGACTCTGGCTGGGGTCAGATCTGGAGCCCAGCACCCTATGAGGATGTAAGCCACTGCTTGGTCAGCCTTTCTTCTGGAAGAAGGTCCCCGTGTCACCTGGGTGGCCTCCAAACACTGGTGATGTGTGAGGTCATCAGAACCAAGCAGCTCAGGAAATGCCTTTGGTGCTTGTGGCTTTAGGTATCCGTGGTCCAAATGATAACTTGCACCTGCCCAGTGAGTCACAGTTTGGGGTTTACACCACAGTTATCTCACTGAATCCTTTGTGCTTCCTGGTAGGCTGTGATGAGCACGGCCATTTGGTAGATGGGAAAACAGACCAAAAGAGGCAGGGTGAATTGCTCAAGGTCACACAGAGCCAAGAGCTGAACCCAGGTCCTACTGACTTCGAGTCCCACTCGCTTGCGCTAGACCAGTGATTCCCAAGCCTCATTCTGTGGAGCCTTGGAGTGCTTGGTGCAGGCCAGAGGGAGGGGCTCAGGAGGAGGGCACTCAAGGGGCTGAGGTTCTGCTGTCCCTTTCCTTCTTCACTCTGGGCCTCAGTTATGTCAGGATTCTGTGTAAAGCCTGTTTGGAAGATCTGTGTTGCTAACAAAATGTTTTCAGAGGACTGCTCCAAACTCTTTCTTCTTCCCTGGAAATTGGGTCCAGGCTCTTCTTTTTGTAGGACTCTTTTATCGGTATTGAGACAAGAAAAAATCTGCTGTCTGTTAGAGGACGTACTCAACCCCAACATGGCAACACAAGGGAGTATAAAAGGTATGGACACAGAGGCAGCAGATTGGGGTCCTGGTCCCAGTTTAGTGTCACATAGTCAAGTTATTTACCTCAGTATCCCTATCTGTAAAGATGAGGGATTAGCCTACAGAATTCTAAACTCCAATTTTGCTCAAATAACCTGTGGATCTAGGGCATCATGCTTGGTTCATGGGATCTTAAACAGGGATGAGTCACTTGAAACTGTGTAAAAATATTATATATCTATATTTATAGATAATTTTTTTTATGGAAGGAGAATGTACAGCTTTCTCCTTGAGACTGTACAGAGTCTCAAAGGGGTCTCTGACACAGAATACCTAGCCTGTCAGGACTCTTTCTTTCTTTCTTTCGTGTCAGAATTAGTGGGAGATATTTCTCCTTTTGCGAGGGTTTAAGTTGTAACAATGGTGTGAGAAAGCTATTTTCAGAAACAGGGAGAGATAAGCAGAGTTAAAAGTTGAAAGCTAAATAAAAGCATCAGAACCTGTGAACAAGTTGACAATCTTGTTTAAACTCCTGGATGCAGCCATGCCTGATACCCCTACACTTTTCAGTTACATGAACTATCGCTTGCTCCTTTTTCACTAAGCCTTTTCTGTTTCAATCGCCTATAGAAGACATGATTGATGTGCTAACATTGTTGGAGAAGGCTCCTGCCATTTGAAAAAATATGAAGTTCAGCATAGAGAAAACAAAGTGGGAAAAGAAAGGACTCAGGCAGGTGTGTTCCTGTCATGCTTTTTTTGAATTTCAGGGAAGAAAAATGCTCTCTGTTTTGTTCCCTATCCTTTATTTATTGTTGTTGTTGTTAGCAAACTGGAGGCTTTCAGAGGCAGGAAAGATGTTAAAAATCAATCCCATCACTACAGAGATGAGAAACCGAGATCCAGAAAGGCAATGTGACTTTCTCCAGGTCATACAGTAAATCAGTAGAATGGCTAGAACGGAGGTTACCGGCTCCCAGGCTCCCACCTCTCTGTGTGACTTTCCTCAGTGCTTCTTTCTCAGGCAGGCTCCCCAGCAGAGCTTATGAGGGTTCTTGTGCTCATGTGTGTTGCTTGGTCACATAGATCCATATCTTATCCAGAAAATTCTTCAGTCTGGGTTTCTTTACCAGTTCCATGGACACAGGTAAACAATGGAGTGTTTGGCCTAAGAGGGATGTGGGGAGAAGGTGAAAGGAACCAGCCCTTTTCTCTGCCTGGGATCCCATTCCCTCTCAAGTGACAGGCCCACCAACTGTCCTGTCCACAGAGTCCCGGCTAGGATTGGGGTCCCTGGGACCAGGCTAGAGCTTGCCCAGTGTTGCCCACAGCAGGAGGATTAGATACCGCTAAGGGTCAAAAACAGGCAAGCAGGATTTATGGGACAAATCCGCGGGCTCACTTTCAGCCACAGGGTCAGATCTGTTTAGCCCTGGAGGGCGGTAATGGCAAAGGCCGCACCGGGGCCGAGGGGCTCCAGAACAACTATTGTCCACAGGACCGGTGGGACTGACGGGGACAAACCTGAAGGGGAAGGAAGAGGAGACTCCAGATCCTGCCTACCGCCCGGATCACAAACTACTCAAAGGCGCACAGGAGAAATGACCTTTAATGTCCGATTTGTTTGCAACCCCGCCCAAGTGCCATCATTCTGTGAAGTACAAGGAGGGGCTTGAGAGGTACGAAGTCACGGAGACAAACGACGCCCCCGCTGCCTCCCGGGCGCACACTCGCTCTGCCCCCGCAGACGGGCTGCCCCACGCACGCACACATGCAGATCACACGGACACCGCACAGACACACGCACGTGTACCCACGATTAAATACATGTACAGAGGGACTCGTTTGGATATATACAGAGAGAGAGAGAGACGGAAATCCCGGCCGGCGTCGGGTCCCCCAGGCTCTCAGCATGCTCGGCCCAGCTCTCCGCGCTGTACCTGGCACCCATGCCCCTGCCAGAAAAGCAGCTGCCCCTCTCCCCGCCCCCCTCCCCCCGGTTCCCCCGGGGCCCGCGCCTCCGGGCGCCGACGCCCCTCCCCCCCTCCGCCCGCCCTCCCCCCACGATGGTTTCCTCCCCACCAACCCCCACCCCGGGGGCTCTAGAACTGTCCGGGCGCCAGGGGCATGTTGGTTTTGAAGCCCGGCTGCCCGTTAGCCACGTCGGTCGCCGCCTCGCAGCCGGCGTTGCTGGCGCCGCCGTCGGTCCCGGGGCTCTCGGGCTCCGACAGGAGCTTGAAGGTGAAGAGCGGGCCCGAATCGTGGCGGCCGCGGCGGCCGGGGGGCTCGGGCGCCGGCAGGCTCAGGAGCGCGCCGGGCGCCTTCCACTCGGGGAAGGCGCACAGCTCGACGGGCGGCGGCGCGCCGCGGCCCAGGTAGCCGGGGCTCGGCGAGGCCGAGGGCAGGGTCCGCTGGCTGCCGCTCAGGCAGCTGCCGCTGTCGTCCAGCGAGTCCTTGCGCGACTGCGAGCGCTCCAGCGAGCCGCCGCGCGTCCACGGCCGGTAGGTGTAGGCGCAGCCGCCCAGGCGACGGCGGCGGCGGCGGCGGCGGCGGCCGCGGCACTGGCACCCGAGGATGCGCACGAAGGCGCGCTTGAACTCCTTGCTGGAGCACGGGTAGATGATGGGGTTGAGGCAGCTGTTGAAGTAGCCCAGCCAGAACACCACCTTGAACACGGCGTCGGGGGGCTTCAGGGTGGAGAACAGGGAGCCTGCAGGGGAAGGGGTGGGGTGGGCACGGGCAGAAAGACAGACAGCAGTTTGTGAGTAGTCCGGTCCTCTCCTCCGAGGGCTCCGCCTAAACGCGGCGCCCGGGAAGCGCTCCCGCTGCCAGGGCTTTGCCCAGGCCACCTTTCGCTGCCTGGAGCGCTCGCCTCTCCCTTCTCCAAGTGAGCGAATCCGACATTCTTTTTGGGGGTTGGTTGAGCTAACCAGCACCGAAACTCCCTAAAATCTTTCCTGGTTTAGCTGACCAGCACCCAACCTCCCATTTCTCTAGATATCCCAGGGCAGCGCTTACCACTTTGTATTCCAGTGATAATAATCACCACACGCAACTGCACAGCTCTTGGGGTATTGTGCTCGGCGCTTTAACTATATTGTTTTGCCCTACAAGAAGCACTGAAGCTGACGCCGATTGATTTCCATGGCAAATACGAGAGGTGTTAAAGACCTAAATGTGAAAGGTAAAACTTCAAAAGACAAAGTAAAGGAACGATCTTTTTGATCTAGGGCTGAAAGGAAAATGACTTAACACTTCAGAAAGATGAACTGCAAAGCAAGGGTGGGAGAAGGTATTTATAATGTCTAAGACAGTCAAGCCATCTCGGTATTTAGAATATATAAGGAACTCCTGCAAACCAACAGGAAAAAGAGCATTCCCAGTAGAAATGTGGGCTAAGCAAGTGAACAGGCAATTTACAAAGCGGGGAAACCTGAGGGCTAACGTATGCCAGGGTACTCAAAATATTAGGGAGTAGGATGAATAGTAATGAAAACCACAAAGAGATATAAGGTATCTGTTAGGGTGGCAAAAATCAGGGAACTAGAGAGTGCCAAGTGTGGGCAGGGGTGTGGGGACATGGGGAGCCGGTTCTGCTGCAAGGTATAGATCTCAAAGACTTTTCACACAGGTCCACAAGGGGACACCTATAAGAATGCTGAGAGCAGTGTTGCTTATGGTGGTAGACAGCTGGAGAGAACATAGGTGTTCCTCACTGAGAATTATGGAAAGGTAGCCTGGGGTAGAAGCCCAGCACAGAGATTATGCAGCAGGTAGATAAGGCCCTAAAAATGGCATGTCCATATAGCAATGTGCAAAGGCTTAAAAACATCGCTCTTTAGGAACAAAGTAGGAAACAGAATTGAGATTTACAGCATAATACTATTTAAGTAACACACCAAACCACCACATGCATTTTGCAAAAACACTTTCAAAAAATGTCAAACACAAAATGGTTGCCTAAGGGGGTAGGCAGAGGGAAATGGGAATAAAAGGAAATAAATCAATGAAATAAGAGAGAGGCCTTACAATGAGGTGCTATGATGGAGAAACATGATTAACTCATCCCTCGAATTTGAGGTCCAAAAACATTTTATGGCATATTAAGTTAAAAACAATTTCCATTTTAAATGCAAGGCAGCTAAGACTTGGAGAGGGTAAATGACTTGCCCCAGGTTACACAGCATGTTTGTAGTATAGTTGGGATTCAAACTAAGTCTGTTTGAGTACAAAATATGTTTTTTTAAAGGTGATCAATAATACCCTTGGTGGAAAAATGAGAAAATACAAAAAGAAAAAAGAAAAAAAGAAAGAATATTGTAAAAGCACACATAACCCTGCAATGCAGAGAAATTACATTTGGTGCACATACCTTCAGATTTTTTTCTCTGTTGTATATGTATCTTTAAATGTTTTCATATATGCAATTATACTTTACAGGACATTTTGTTATTTCAAACTATGTTCCCTAACCCTGCCACTAAGTTGGTGGTACAGTGACTTTCATATTCCTGTCCTATCTCCTCTGTTTAAACTGTGAGCTTCCCAAGGGCCTGGTCTTCTGGATCAACTTTGATTCCATTTGGCGAATGAAGAGCACACACTCCTAGAATATCTGAATGGGGGTGGGGGATGTCTTAGCAATCACAAATCCAAGCTCCTCTTTTGCAGATGGAAACACTGAGTCCCAGAGAGTGGCCGAAAGTGCCAAGGGGCAGTGGCATAGAAGCCACAGGATAGAAATCCTTTGATTTTGGGCTACACTTGAGCTTCCCCCTTGTAGCACTTCTCCTTTTTGATTCTTTGAGGTTTGCCTATTGTTATAGGGAGCCTCCTAGTTTTCTGCTTAGCAAGCCAAGGATGGTAGTGGTGGTGGGCAAGGGTGGGGAGATGGCTGGGCTCCTGGTGCAGGGCTAAGCCAGGCAAAGGTTTACATTTAGAAAGAGGGTTATCTGTATCCAGGTGTAAGTACTCTATTTTTTAAAGTTTATTTGTTTATTTTGAGAGAGACAGAGATAGCACGAGGGGCAGAGAGGGAGAGAGAATCCCAAGGAGGCTCCCCACTGTCAGTGCAGAGCCCGATG